CTCTTGTTCTCCCTATACTTCACACACACACACACACACACACACACACACACACACACACACAATTTGGGGATAAAGGCAATGGCATGGCAGGTACTTCTGGGCAAGTCTACCAGGAATAATGATTCAATAGGAACATTTATATGCAACACTATTCCTTTATTTCTAGCTGTTACATTGGGCCAAGTGAAAGAAAAATAATTTTTATTTAATATTAAAAGAAATCATCACTTAAAGTGAATGGGTTTCATGATTTAAGATTGATGTAGAATCTCAAAGCTATAATCTATTTCTTAATTTAGGCCATGGATTCTAAAATACTGGTGTTTCATCTGCCTTACCAAATTATGGACTATAATTTTAGGAGAAACTTTTGATGATCTGGCTCTAACATCGAACCCACCCAACCCACTGCTGAGCAGTGTAATCTGTGCTTCTATGCCCTGAGACACTAGGCCTCTCTTCCTATCCTTCCCTTGTCACTCCAGCACCAGACCATGCCCAGCTCTTTCTTTTTTGTCACCCGCCCTAGTGAAGTCTGAGTCAGCTACAGAGCGAGAGCTAAAAGCCCAATCTGGAAGGGACAGTCTTGAAAGTAGTAATTATATATTTTCAATGTGAAAACTGCTTGAGTTGAGAGATTCAAAATCTATTTGGGGAATGCATAAATAATATACTGATAATTGGCACATTTTTTACATCAGCCTTCCTATTTTAAACACTCATTTAAAACAACTGGCAAAAAAAATGCTAACAAAATAAAAATGAAATCTTATTTCTTTCACACATCTTATTTGTCACATTCTTTACATGATTCCACTGCCATGATTTCAAAATAATCAAGCGTGCTAATACTGCTAGTGAAAAATGGATGTATTAGGTAATTAATTTGAGTATTTGGTCCATTTACATTTGATGTGATTATTGGTATGTTTCTGTTTGCCTTCCATCTTGTTATTAGTTCTCTATTTGTTCTATCTGTTCTTTATTCCTTATATTTCTTTTATGTCTTCTTTTGCATCAACTAAGGATTTTTTCATATTTTACTGTATCTCCTTTATTTGTTTTTAAGCTACACCTCTTTGTGTTTTTTTAAATTTGTGGCTCTATGGTTTACAATATGCATCTTTTAATTTATCAGTGTCTATTATAAACTAGTATTATATTATTTACATATCATATTATATTAGAAACTAAAAGAGTATATGCTTCCAATTACTCTCTCTTGTCCTTTGTGTTATTATTGTCACATGTTATTTCCATATATATTAAACTTAATTCTACATTGTTATTACTTGTTCTTTAAATGGTCAATTGTCTTTTGAAGAAATTAAGAAATAAGAAGTGTTTTAAATTTGCTTGTATATTTACATTTATCTGAGTTCTTCAATCCTTCAGTGGACAACTTCCATTTGGTATAATTTTCCTTCAGCATGAAAAAATTCTTTTCATGTTTCTTGTAGTTCATCCCTGCTGGTGATGAATTCTCTCACTCATTAATCATATAATATCTTACTCTCACCTTCATTTTTAGAAGATATTTTCCTTAGATCTAGAATTTTTTTTCTAGATCTTAGGACTGTATAAGAGGTTAATATAATAATGTTCATAGTTGCTTAATTTGTAATAGCCCAAAACTGGGGACAACTAAAATTTCTCTCAGTAAGTACACAGGGAAGCTGCGGTACATCCATACTATGGAATATCACTCAGCAGTAAAAAGGAATAAACTAGTTATTCACTCTACAACTTAGATGGTACTTAAGGACACTGTGCTGAGTGAAAAAGAAAAAAAAAGCCAATCTCATAAGGTCACATACTGTGTGATTCCATTTATATAACATGCCCCCAAGGAAGAAAAGTGTAGAAATGGAAAACAGAGTAGCAGTTGTTGGGGTTAGAAATTCAGGATGTGACCATAAAAAGGCAGTAGGAGAGAGATCTTTGTGGTGAGGGAACAGGGTGATGGAAATATTTTGTATCTTCATTGAGGTTGTGGGTACAGAAATATACACATGTGATAAAATGGCATTAAACTATATCCATCCACACACTATAGCAATGCCAATCAAATGGTTTTGACACTGTAGTTATATAAGATGCAACCTTTCGGGAAAACTGGGTGAGGGGTACACAGGACTTCTCTACACTAGTGTTGCATTTTCCTGTAATTATTTAAAATAAAATATTTATCGGGCGCCTGGGTGGCTCAGTTGGTTAAGCGACTGCCTTTGGCTCAGGTCATGATCCTGGAGTCCCAGGATTGAGTCCCGCATCGGGCTCCCTGCTC